TGGTCACCCTTGGCTCTCCCTCTCTGCAAGCACCCCAAGAGCCGGTTTGGGGTGACCCACGTGTGTTCCATGGCTTGCTGTGTGTGGGTCGGAGATGGGGACCTCAGGAAAGCTCAGCACCCTGGGGGACAATGGGGACACCAGGCTCAGTCCCACCATTGGCTGCTGCCCAAAGCCCTGCAGAGCTTTGACCTGGAATGGCCCTGGATTGGCCCTTGTTCCTTTGGCCTGGAATGGCCCTGGATTGGCCCTTGTTCCTGTGACCTGAAATGGCCCTGGATTGGCCCTTGTTCCTTTGGCCTGGAATGGCCCTGGTTAGCCCTTGTTCCTGTGACCTGAAATGGCCCTGGAATGGCCCTTGTTCCTTTGGCCTGGAATGGCCCTGGATTGGCCCTTGTTCCTGTGACCTGAAATGGCCCTGGAATGGCCCTTGTTCCTTTGGCCTGGAATGGCCCTGGATTGGCCCTTGTTCCTGTGACCTGAAATGGCCCTGGAATGGCCCTTGTTCCTTTGGCCTGGAATGGCCCTGGATTGGCCCTTGTTCCTTTGGCCTGGAATGGCCCTGGATTGACCTTGATTCCTTCCACCCTCCCACAAAGGAGCTGTTCCAGACTGCAAGGCGAGATGGATTCTGTCACCATCTCTGTGGCAGCTGTCTTTTGTCAAGTGGGCAGTTTGCCTTATCTCTCTCTGTGAGTGACCACAATCACTCCTCCCTTGGAGGGAGAACATCTGCTGATAACAGGCTATGTAATGTCACTGCATGGCTGATAAGAACTACAGCATCCCATTGGGAGATGTGAGCCCAGAGGGAGGAGCCAAGCATTCCTACCCAGATATAATCTGGAGATCCTGGAACACCAACACAGATCCTCCACTGGATTCCCCAGAGGAACAGCAGCTGCCTCTCCTGGATCTTTGGAGGAAGACTACCTGTGACAGTGTTCACAGGAGTCTGAGGATGAGGGAAGAGATGAGGATCTGACTCCATGTTTCAGAAAGCTTGATTTATTATTTTATGATATATGTTATATTAAAACTATACTAAAAGAATAGAAGAAAGGATTTCATCAGAAGGCTGGCTAAGAATAGGAAAAAAAAGAATAATAATAAAGGCTGGACTGTGATTGGCCATTAATTAGAAACAACCACATGAGACCAATCCCAGATGCACCTGTTGCATTCCACAGCAGCAGATAATCAATGTTTACATTTTGTTCCTCTCAGCTTCTCAGGAGGAAAAATCCTAAGGAAAGGATTTTTCATAAAAGATGTCTGTGACAACCGCCCCATTTTCTACAGGATCCCTGCTCCACCAGATCCACACCTGACACTCCAGGAGGGCTGCAACCACAATTCCAATTGTGCTACCAACACCCTGACCCACAGGGTGTCAGGTTGTGTTTGACTCTGTCAGTATTTTAATTTACTGCATTGTTTATTTATTTTATCCTTTTATTTTCTTCCCTATTAAAGAACTGTTATTTCCTGCTCCCATATTTTTGGCTGAGAGCCCCTAAATTTAAAATTTATGGCAATTCGGAGGGGTGTAAAAGTGGGATTTTTGGAGGGTTTACATTCTCCCTTTCAGGGGAGCTCCTGCCTTCCTTAGCAGACTCCTGTCTTTGCAAACAGAGACAGTGACATTTCCCTGTTTTCCTGGGATAGTTTCCCTGATGGGATCTGGGATGGAGTGCCAGGCAAGCAGCCAGCAGACATCTCAGCAGCATCTCTGTGTTCCTCCCCTCCAGCCCTGCAGTGCCCAGGGCAGTGGCTGAGGCCACCTCTGGGTGTGAGTGAACAGAGCAGCCCCTCACGTCCCAAACCTGAGCTGTGCTCCCATCTGGGAGCAAAACCTGCATTTAAAAAATCCCACTTTTACACCACTCCATGGCATTCAGTAACAAATAAATCCCACAGCCTGGGGAGGGTTTTTACTCCAGGAGATGTTGAAGTGACAGGGAACTTCCCTGCCTGCCTTTTGTGGGGACAACACAAACCAGCGGAGCTGAAAGACATCCAAAATATCACTTTTCAAAGCAGCAGCAGATCTTTCTGTCAAAGGAGACATTTCACAAGGATGGGCATGGCTGGGTTCCTGGCAAAACAATCAATGGGGATGTAAACCAGCATTTCCCACCAGCCTGGGGTGGTCAGGCTGCTCCCTGAGTTCAAGGAATTAATTTGCTTTTTGATCATCCATAGGGAAGAGTCCAGCAGAACCCTGGGGTGCTGCTGGGATGGGAATTTTCAAAACATTTCTCCTCTGGCCAGCACTCCTGGAGGCTTTCCTGGGTTGGGTCTGTGCCAGCCTTGTTGTGCTCCAGTTTGTCACCTGCCTTGCTGTGTCCCAGCAGATGTGACAGCGCACTGCTGGCTCATCCTGATGGTAGAGAGAGTCATGATGTGTTTCTGTGTGTTCCAGTGGTTTGGCAGAGCTGCAGAAATCAGCATTTCCCCCTGTTTTATTGTTTTATGGATCCCCCTCCCCTTCTGCCAAGTGGGAATAACGTTGCAGAAAGTGCCTGTCCCCGTGAGGGAACAATTTGGTGACATTCAGGAGTTGCTGAGTCTTGAACAGCTTCTGCTGGTCCAGCCAGTTCTTTGAAAATTGAGGTTTTTGGGTACTTTTTTTTTGTTCAACCAGCAGCTTGAGATGGGCCAGAAACTGTTGTGACAGTGCCTCTAAAATCCTTAAGCTGCTTGAATCACTCCAAGGAGCCAGGCAATAAAAGAGCTGGAATAAAATGTATCCCTCAATGTCCTTCACTTCTGCTGACAACTGCAGTTTAAATTACTGGTGCAACCCTTCAGCATAGCTGGCTTGTGAAAACTAATAAAATATAAAATGAAGTTAGAACAGAGACTTGCCACCATTTCTGTGGTGGAGAGTAGAGAAATCACTTTTTTTGGGGGTGAGCCTCTATTAGGGTGCTGTTATTGCTTTAATGACAGTGACCAGAATGAAATATTAATATATGTTGGAATTTTTACATCATGTCAATTATATAGTGTTTATTAGACAAGGGCCTTCACTTTAATCATAAAGTGGCATTTATTCTATGAAGAATTTTATGTTTTCCAGAGCTTACCTTAAAATTTGGCTTTTTTAAAAAACTCTTAAGCTCTCTTCTAGTGGAAGGTGTCCCTACCCGTGGCAGAGGGTTGAATGAGATGAAATTTGAGGTTCCTTTTAACCCAGACAATTCTGTGACTCTCAGGAGAGTGATTTGTTTGGGATTTGGCCATCCCATTGCCACGTGCTCTGATTCCTTGGCTCCTTTGCCCAAAGTCACCAGAATTTCAAAATAATGGGTGGCTTTGACTTAAAAAAAGAGCAGATTTTAATTTTGTAAACTGGCAGCTTGCTATGAAGCATCTCCAGGGTCCCTTCTAACCCAGACAATTCTGTGACTCTCGGGAGAGTGGTTTGTCTGGGATTTGAGCATCCCATTGCCACGTGCTCTGATTCCTTGGCTCCTTTGCCCAAAGTGACCAGAGTTTCAAAATTATTGCTGGCTTTGAGTTAAAAAAAAGGCAGATTTTTATTTTGTCAGCATTCCAAGCCTGCCATGAAACTCTCCAGAGCTAGGAGAGGCAGCGAGGGCCGTGCAGATGCTGCAGCGTGGGTGAGGTTTGGAGTGGATGTTTCACAGGTCACGTTGAGATGGAACCTCAGCTGTGGCTGTTGAGAAACATCTTCACTGTCCTGGAGATCTCTGGGAGGAACTTTGCAATCAGGGGAGGAAGGAGGGCTCTGTGGAAGGGTCCTGGCTGCTCTTGTTTCTGCAAACATTTTGTAGCTGATGGAGCCGTGCCAGGACCTGCAGCCTGCCAGGAGGGACCAGCTCCCACCACCAAGTGTTTCCTTCTTTGTGTCCCGAAGATGTGGGCACTCAGCAAGTGATTTGCCAGCTGAAGTGAAAGGGATGGAAGTGAAAGGGATGGAAGGGGATGGAAGCAGCCTTTATAAAGCAGCAGCAGCTTCCAAGGACCAGCCCTGAGTCCCTGCTGGGAGCTGGGGCTGGGGAGAGGCTGCGAGGATGGAACACATTAGTGAGAGTCAGGGTGGGGACGGGCAGGCTGGGATGCTCTGCTGTCCCAGAGGCTGTGTGGGAGGATGAGGGCAGGATGTGGATGATCCTTTTTGTTTTAAAACAAAGGGAAATGCCACTGACTTCGCCCGAGAAGGATAATCCTGGAGCCTTGGGCTTTTCTTAACAAAAGGTATTTTATTTTTCTTTTAAATTTTTTTGTGTCTGTTTGTCTGCTGAGATCAGAGGGGTTGTTTGCAGCAGGGGTGTGGCTGAGAGAGGATTTGAGCTAGGGGAGAAAGTGGATGGAGGGAATTGCTGGGCTTGAGGCTGGACTTGGTGGGTGGAACTCGTGGTTGGAACATAACAGGTTGGGCTGGGTGGCTTGCAGTGATCCTCTTGGACCTTGGCACTTGTGGAGCAATGGAGATAATGACTTTATTTAATGTTTTTGTGGGAAATGATCCCATGAATGTCACCTGAGAGCTGTCAATTATCAGGTGTTGTACAGGAGGAATTTTGGGTGAAATGAGGAAGATGAGAATGCCTGGAAGGGGCTCAGAGCTGATGGAACAGGGAGCTGCTGATGACCCACATCTGATCCCTTTTAGATTTGCAGTTTCCCTTCTCCAGGTGGTCTCATTTGTGCCTGGTTCCCCCTTCAGCCTCCCTTACTCCCCGGCAGCCCAAATTGTCAAACTTGTGGGAGCTTCCAGGTTTAAGACCACGTCATAAATCACAGAATCCCAGAATGGTTTGGGAGGGAAAGAACCTTAAAGCTCATCTCATTCCACACCCTGCCATGGGCAGGGCCACCTTCCACTCCCCCAGGGTGCTCAATCCCTGTTTGGAGAGACCCAGAAGGAATGTTTGTGTCAGAATGCCTCTCCTGCACGATGCCTTGAGGCCATGCAGAATTTATTCCATGACTCCAAGTGGTTTTCTCTGTGTTTTTCTGTTAAACAGGAGGGAAACCCTTGAGATCAGTGCTGGGAGGAAGAAGAGAAGTGGAGAAGGAGTCGATGTGGGATGTGGGACAGGCCTGAGCCAAGGAGCTGAGGGACAGCAGGTAAAGCTCAAAGGAGCTCTGCAGTCTCAGGCTGCCCCATGCCTGGGGTTAAGCTGCTTCTTCCCTTGCTGGATTTTAACATAATTCACCAAAACATCTCACACCCTTCTAACAACACTTTCCTCCTCCCCATAGTTCAGTTGGAATAATGTTGAGATGAGAAAAGCTTGTAAAAATAGGGCAGGACCAGCACAGTGTCACCCCCAGAGCTTTAATCAAGCTCCTTACATATTTTTTGGCCATCAGCTCTTTCATTTAATCATCCATTAATTGCTGAAAGTTTTAGCCAAATTCATTTGGCAGAAGTTGCAGGAGAAGAAGCAGCATTCAACAATATTCTGGTTTCAGCACTTTTCAATTCTGATTTTAAAAGCAATGTTGAATGTCACTAATGGTCTGAGCTCAGTGTCTGTGTGCCTCAGGATCCAAACCCCTGCACACAGCTCAGGGGGAAGTTGGGCTCTGAACATTTTTCTTCTTTAGCATCATTCTCTGGGCAGATTCTTGTCCCCAAACTCTTTGTAATCCAGGTGTGAGGATGAGTCCTTGGGTGCTGATCACAGCTCTGGGGTGGGGGTGTGTGGTTCTCTGGGAGCCTTCCAATCTCACTGCAGAGGCTGGAGTTGCTGCCAGCAGCGCATTTCTCCTTCCCCAGTTTCCTTCTCACTCCTGTAAGGCAGCCAGGGGATGAGATGAGATTCTGTGCCCTGTGCTGGGCTCCTTCAGGCAAACCCAGGCTCTGGAGTATTGTCAGAATTGCTGATGAGTTTGGGCTCCAGAAGAGGTGTCAGGAGTGAAGCAAAGGAGTCAGGGAGTGGCATTTGCTGGCACAGGGACACAAGGACAGCACGGGGCAGTGACATCCTGCACAAAGCTGCTCTGTCAGCCCAGTCCAGCACGTGGATTGTGACTGGGAGCCACCAGAGTTCCTCCAGTCAGAATCTGGCTGCTAAATCTGATTCCTGCTCTCAGGAGAGCTTGGATGAGGCTGTGGCTCAGCACAGAGCACACGAGGTGCTCTCAGGGTCCCTTGTGGCCATGAGCTCCGCTCCTCTGTGAGGAGATCACAGCTGCAGCTCCAGTGACACATGGCCAGTCCCAGCCTGTGGACTTGCCCAGTTTCCTTCTCACTCCTGTAAGGCAGCCAGGGGATGAGATGAGATTCTGTGCCCTGTGCTGGGCTCCTTCAGGCAAACCCAGGCTCTGGAGTATTTCAGAATTGCTGATGAGTTTGGGCTCCAGAAGAGGTGTCAGGAGTGAAGCAAAGGAGTCAGGGAGTGGCATTTGCTGGCACAGGGACACAAGGACAGCACGGGGCAGTGACATCCTGCACAAAGCAGCCCAAGTTCTGGAGTGGAAGCAGCACGTGGATTTTGACTGGGTTACTCCAGTCAGAATCTGGCTGCTGAATCTGATTCTGCTCTCAGGAGAGCTTGGATGAGCTGTGATGGGCTGTGGCTCAGCACAGAGCACACGAGGTGCTCTCAGGGTCCTGTCTGGCCATGATCTCTGCTCCTCTGTGGGGAGATCACAGCTGCAGCTCCAGTGACAGGCAGACAGACACATGGCCAGTCCCAGCCCCTGTTGTGACTCTCTGTCAGAGGGTTTCTCCAGGAGCTCTGTGTCCTTGGGAGCCGTGCTTGGAGCATCTGCTCTGGACATTCTTGGGGCTGAGCTGCTTCCAGCAGGCTTAGCAACTGTGCCTGTGATTTCCTGCAGGAAATCCAACCATGCAGGGTGGTGTTCAGCTTGTGGGACTGTGACTATCAAACCATCATGGCATTCCTAAGTTGCCTTTTTTCATTACTTTTTAAAAAACCTGGTAGCTGTCTCCCCACCCCCAACCCCATATCTGTGCATCTATGGAGTTTTTTTTTCCTGCCTTGTTCAAGTGAAAGAGTAAATCCTTTTTGATTTATTCCAGAGCAGCCCTCGAGCTCAGCTCCTGTGAGAGCCTGCTGACTTGGAGTTCAAAAGATCTCACAGCTTTGAGGCCAGGCTGTGGTCTCCCATCTTGCCTCAGAGTTAAACTGAAAGAGAAAATTCCTTTTCTTCTTGAAAAGAAAAATCACCATGCTGTGTAAGGGAATCAGACTTAGCTGGAGCAGCAGAGAATGCCAACATGCAGAATTCCAGGTTAAAAATCTGGTTGTTTAGCAAGGCTTTATTTTCAAGCACTGAGCACGTTGTTTAGGAAGTGTTTTATGGAGATAAATACTCCTTTAAAAGCAGAGCTGCTGCCTGGCTGGGAGCCAGTCTGTGATCCTACATTAAAGCATTTTTTGGGTGTTTAAACCACTGCATTACCACGGTGGCTAGAAATGGAAGTTCTTATCCCTGGCTTCCTGCAGATCTGCAGGGTTAGGTGACATTTTAGGAAGAAATTCTTTACTCTAAGAGTGGTGGTGAGGTGAATAGAATTCCCAGAGCAGCTGTGGCTGCCCCTGGATTTCTGGAATTGTCCAAGGCCAGGTTGGGCAGGGTTTTGGAGCAGCCTGGGACAGTGGAAGGTGTCTCTGCCCATGGCAGGGGGGGAATGGGATGCTCTTTAAAGTCCTTTCCAGCCCAAATCATTCCATGATTCAATGAGGTGCAGACATATCTGGCATATATATATATGTGTGTTTATATGATTTATATACACATACAGAACAAAACAAACCTATAAGAACTATTTATATCCTATTCCACTTCCACAGGGCCCTGCTTAGTCCAGATTTATGCAGTTGTGGCTGCAGCTGTGAGCTTGGAAGTGCAGAGATAATGGATGGAAGACTTTTAATAACTGTAGGGACCCTCCTTTTAAAATCCAGCTGCTCTGAGCAAGGTGACCTTGGCTCTGACTTGGAAATCCAGCCCTGCAGGGGAAGGAGATGCTGATCCAGGAACAAAATCTTGGCCAGACAGAAGGGAAAGCACAGGTTGGGCTGGTGGAGTTTTCAGCACTCTTGAAGTTGTCAGGCAGTTAAAACTATGGGTGCTCTCCCAAATTTGAATTTACACCTGGTGGTGGTGTGTCTCAAATTTGAATTTACACCTGGCAGTGGTGTATCTCTGTTTTTCAAAAAGCTCCAGTCCTGGAGTGGAAAGAACCAGCTTTTTTGACAGCAGCACATAAGTGACAGCTCAGGTAACCCTCAGAGTTGTGAGGGAAATCTCACATGGTGTTTTCTCAGCAGAACTCCTCCAGAAATCCTTTCTTTCAAAGTTTTTGGGCCTGTGGAGAGAGTCCATGGAAACACCTTGGTGTTTTACCCCCCTTTTCAGGAAAAAATGTTTAAAGTTAAAAAAATTATTGTTGAAAGAAAGCTGAAACTGCAGTGATTCTCTGGGATGTGTGGGTACAGTAAAGGCACAGAGCTCAGGTGACAGTAAAGGACAGCGAACAGAGTGGCTCTTCTGCTGTTCTGTCCCATAGAAACAGGAAACCCACATCCTGACCTTCTCCCATGTTCCGAGCCAGCAATAAAATAGGAATATTTTGGTTTTTTCCCCCCCAATCTAATTTGAAACATGATGACTGGACCGTTCTTAAGCAGCTTCCAACTTAACAATAAAGAAACTTCACGGAGTGCTTGGCAGGAGCCTCTGTACATAATTTAGATCATAATCAGATGCATTAACACATTTTATATGGATCTCATGGGGGCCAGGAAGACGAGGTGTGCTGGGTAATTTCTTCCCAGATTTCTTTACCTGATTGTTTATTACTCTTGGGGACTTCATTTGTGGTCCAAATGTCACCAGCAGTATCCTGCTGCTTCATGTGCCTGCATTCAAATTCCTTAGTTGCTGTGTTCTCCTCAGTCTTTCCATCCAAAGGGAGGATGGGGAACAAAAGCAAGGACCCAAAATCTGCAAACTGCTCTGCCTGGAGCTCCACGGGAGGGAAGGTGCTGGGAGTGCTCCTTGTTTCCCACTGAGTACAATCAGAATCTGCTGCTGGGGAGCTGCATGGGGGAAGCACTTCCTCTCCCTCCCTTTCCCTTTGAGATGTTCAACAGCAGCAGATTTAATTTTATAAATCTCCTGAAAGCTTTTCCACGCTCAGAAAAGAGAAACGGTCGCGCGTCTCTCGCTTTGCTTGATTGTTTTGCCATGAATCCACCTTGTGAAATGTCTCCTTTGACAGAAAGATCTGCTGCTGCTTTGAAAAGTGATATTTTGGATGTCTTTCAGCTCCGCTGGTTTGTGTTGTCCCCACAAAAGGCAGGCAGGGAAGTTCCCTGTCACTTCAACATCTCCTGGAGTAAAAACCCTCCCCAGGCTGTGGGATTTATTTGTTACTGAATGCCATGGGGTGGTGTAAAAGTGGGATTTTTTAAATGCAGGTTTTGCTCCCAGATGGGAGCACAGCTCAGGTTTGGGACGTGAGGGGCTGCTCTGTTCACTCACACCCAGAGGTGGCCTCAGGCAGCTGCTATTGATGCACAAGTTGGCACAGCCAGGAGTGAAACCTCCAAGGCAGGTCAGACCTGGCCTGGGTGTTTGGGCAGGTGAGAAAGCTCAAGAACATGAAAATGTCTGACTTACACCCTGGATTTGGGCCAGAGAACAGGCTCAAAACAGGACCACAGCAGCCCATACCAAAAACACAGAGCTCCTTCTTCCCCTCTTATCAGTGCCTGATAATGATACTGAAAACCACCCCAGGCCAGAGGAGAAGCATGGATTTGTTTGCCTCTTTTTTATCTTTTCTCTTCAATAATTGTTTATCAACATCGGGTGATGATGCAACAGCATCCCAGATTAGCTGAGCTCATAAAGTGGCTTTTACCACCGAGCACAATGGTGATGATGGAGAAGTGAATATCCTTAAAAATCAGAGTTGGTGGGGCTGCTGAATTTCCATTTTGTGTTCTGAGTGAATCCCTGTGTCTCACCCTGTGCCTCCAGTGCCTTGTGCTGCTGAAATGTCCACAGGGAGAGGGTGAAGAGCTGAGAGTTGGGGGCCTCTCCCACAAACTCCTGCCTTTTCCCTGGGTTTTCCAGCTAAGTGC